TCTGGACATGTGGACACCCAGGCCTGTCCCTCTAGCCCATCCGCATCCTCTCAGCACCAAAACTTAGGCCCACTAGGAACAAGGTGGTGTCCCAGGCATCTGACACATAAATGTTCAGAGCAGAATTCCTGTCCCCTCACCAAGTACCCCCATTGTTATAAATGCACCACAACCAACGGCTGCTCAAGCCAGACCTCGATTCTGGCCCCTCCTGCACCACTACCCCTCCCTGCCACTCCTTTGCCTGGGCACCTGTGCCCACACCCACATCTGCTTCCTGTGGCGCCTTCTTCAGGCCTTTCCGGATCTCCTGGGAACTTGTATCTATTTCTTCACAGGTGCATGCCCCAGACAACAGTGCTGCCTGCTGACTTGTTCTGCACGTAGGTACACACGCCTGTACTTGGGCAGATCTGGTCTGAGCTGTGTCACGTGTGATGCTACCACCTCCCCAGGGTGCTGCTGCACACCTTGCTTGGAGCCCCTGGCCGCCTCCCCAGGCCCATCCCAAAGTCACCCAGCAACTCACAACTGAGACTTGTTGGTGTTGGGCCCCGAGTTGGCCATGCTGAGGATGCCCCGGCCCGTGTGCGAGAGGTTGGGCCGAAACTCATCTTTGAAGGGTTTTCCCCAGTACGACTCGCCACCTGGAAGAGAAAGCAGCACAGATGTCAGCAAGAACGACTGGTTGGTCCTAGCTGAGTGCAGCCAGCAGGATGCAGCCCTGCTCCAGAAATCTATGCTGAGTCTCAAGGGGCACCGGGCACTGCTGGGGCTGTGTCTGGGGCAGGGGCACCTTGGAGGGCAGCTCTGGCGCTCATGAGCCCCCCAATCCCTCGAAGCCCCTACGTGGGGTCTTGCCCCGAGAACAAAGTAAAAGGTGAAGCCACACATCGTTACTGCTTACCCACACAGGCAAGGGAATGGGCCTGGGCCCAAGCAGCTGACAAGCTGAGGGGGCCTTTGAGAGGCAGTAGGAGGGTAGCCAGACATCTGGTACAGGGGAACCACCTTCCTCTGCTGTGGGATCCCTGAAGCACCCCTTGGTCCACTGACAAAGGTGGGTGCCCTGGAGGCCTGTGGAGGAGGCAACATGCTCCCACTTCCATCTATCATTTAGGCCTATGACCGTCTCAAAATGAGAAAATAGGGATGTGCCCAAGGTCACCTAACCACATCTGGAAACTTAGCATGTCCCCACCTACCTACCCCCTCATGGCTGATGGAGCAGCCAAAGCTGCCCAGGGAGCCCCAGTACCAGTACCTACCTGTGCCTGTACCAGTGGGGTCACCCCCCTGGATCTGCAAGAACAAAAGCCAGTGAGCAAGCCATGCCTGTGACCCCATGGCCCTGCCGGCACTTCCACAGCCACCCACAGCCCACAGCCCACTGCCCACAGGAGCAATTCCCCACTTACCAGATGGACTCAAAGGGATCTGAACTCTTGTTGAGGACATAGGCCCTCCCTGGCCACGTATCTGCACAAGCCCAGTGTGGCCAGGCTGCATGCTGAAGGGGCAGGTGCCCTGCCCCTGAGAAGGGGCTCCCACATATGACAGAAGTCACCTCCAGGATTCACCTGCCCTAAGGCCATCGCTGACCCACATCACTCACCACAAAGTTCCTGATGGATCTGTGGAAGATGGTGCCATCATAATACTGCTTCTTGCAGAGCTTGATGAAGTTCTCACAGGTTTTTGGTGTCTGCAAAACAGCCCAGATACTTCTGTGAGGCATGAAGGAGCCAATAGAGGGTCATGAATGCCACCCAAGCCCTGATCGCACAGTGGAAGAGGCTCAGCTACCCAGCCCAAGCGATGGTAAGGACCCACGTTGCTAAACTACTAGACACTTGCAGCTGCCAAGTCCAAGAAAGGGAAACGGAGACGCCAACAGAGCGGGG